CAGTAATAAAAATGAATTACATTTTTACATTTCAAAAAAATATAGATATATAAAATGATTGAATAATGTACCTTCTATAGGTTGTTGTGGATTTGGGTTTAATATTGTAGTATGTGCTGCACTTGCAATATATCCATCAATATGTACACCTAATTCTCTAATCCAATTGATAATTAAGAGATTTTTTTTTATAGATTTTGTATAAAGCTATTCAGAAAAAGATTCAGAAAAAGAAGGTTTTCTATACGCACATTTTAACTAAGTCTCCATGTTGAAGAATAACATCATTTTCAGGAAGAGGAGAAAAATATTGCAAATAATTATTTACACAAATCATTGTCGGCAATGCTACACCCTTTTCAACCTTATTTTTATTGTACACCTTGGAAGTCTATTATATAGAATTATGTGAGAAACTTTTATTTCAAGCATATACTTTTACAATATATTACAAATGCATACATGCGAAAAAACGAGTTGGTCACCATATTTGCATAGTTCGGTAATAGACGCGCCTGGTAAAATTCTACTAATAATTTGGGGCAAAACAGCTATAATTAAATTGTTTTAGGGTTTTCTTTTGTTAACTGTACGAAAATAAATGACTTTACAAATAATTAAACTCGATTTTTCTTTTTTACCATTCACAATATCAGCGGCACTCCTATATTTTGACAAAACAACGGAATTGCTGAGATCATTATCAGCATTAAACTTTTGTTTATAGTACTCTACTTCCATTTTATGTTTAAAAATTAATTGTTGGTCTCGAGAGAAATTCAAAATATCGTGTTCTAACAAAGAAAGTTACGAGAGAGTGTCTAATCATTTTCGTTACCTTGTACGTATGTATTTATATAATTAATTTGATTGGGTAATTGAATTCTTTCTAATACAGTAATAACAGAACTTCTACTTAAATGTGTATTAATATTATAGTATTTATCAGTTAAATCGTTATCGTTATCGTTATTGCGGATTGCAAATCTATTTACTATAAGAATCATCATATGTAATTAAAAATCGTTACGTACCGTATACATACGTACGTACCGTATACATACGTACGTACGTACGTACGTATGTATCTGATATACAAACAAAAAATATAACGATAAGTATATCGATATAGAAAAAAGTATACGTATTTATTTAATTACTGACACTTAATAAACATAAAAAATTACTAAAATAAAATAAGATGTGCAATCTACGGTAATGGTAAGTCTGATACGTACGTATTACGATTATAATGGACTAATCTATTAATATAAAAATTTAAACTTACAAGAATGGCACTATAAAATGAATTCTTTACAATTTTTTTATTCTTTAATAATTATAAGGCAATCAAGTTTCAAAATTTTCTTTTACTCTATTGTTCATTAAAAAAAAAAAACAAGAATTCATTTTTGGTGCATATGCTATAAACAAACTTTAAATGGCACATGCTTAAGCATAAGTATCTACTAGTGAATCTCTCAAATCTTTGACGATTGCCGTCGGTTGTGCATCGTGTAATTTGAAAATACTTTCAACCACAGATAATTCTGTTGCGGTACTATCTAATCCTGTGAATGCGCACCAATCATTCACTACAAGGCCTGCCCCAACCACATCAGATCCACGATTTATCGTCCCGGCCTATCAATCAATACAAAAAATGTATATCAAATGTAAATATTTTATAATATAATATATGATTCCGTTATTTAAT